GTAAAATCTCCGCCGCCGAGTTCCGAGCTGAGCGTGATTGTGAACCGAGGTGGATTGCGGGCGACGAGGCAGAGAATCGATACGCTACGGTAGACGGAGTCGACGAAGCGAGCGCTACGGTGCTACAGCCGAGGCGACACAGATCCGAACCCAGCGCCGAGGCAAACGAGTTGTTTGCGTGTCGAACTCCGACGCCGGGGTGAAGAAGTTCTGTGCCACCGAGTCGAGTCTCGGTTGATAGGGTGGTCGCGAATTTTGGCGAGGACGAATTCGCCTTCTCCACGCCGAGGTGGTGCGACCGAGGCGAGTTCGGTTTGACCGAGGTGGATTCGACTGAGGTGGTTAGATTCGATCGAGGCGAGTTCGGTTCGACCGAGGTGGATTCGACTGAGGTGGTTAGATTCGACCGAGGCGACTTGAAACGCCGAGGCGGAGGTTAGCAACCGACGTTGCGAAAAGGTGCGAGTTGGCGACGGGTTGAAGCYTTTGTGGCCTTGGTCCCATTGACGAGCTTTTTCTTCCGGTCCYGCTTCTCAACCGAGGTGAGACGTCATGTCGCACCGASGCGGAGCGCATTGAGCCYCCTGCTCGGACCGAGGCAAGATCGTCCTCCGAGCTTGACAACAAGATCGATCCGCCTGCTTTGTCGTGGGTTGAGCCGAGGTGATATTTTAAAAAGACGCCGGGGTGGATTGTGATGGCAGAGAACCCGTCTCCTTTGAGTCCAAGGAATCGCCCTTTTGAGGCCGGTTCTTCGTACGTTTCTCCGTGCTTAGAAGACTTGGATGGCTTAAGAGACGGTCTTTCACTTCCCGGAGGAAGAGTCATCCGTACACCTGGCTCTGACGCAGGTAGCGSGACCCACCTAATCTCCCRTGATATCGCAGCTGCCYAGGTCTATGAAGAGGATGACATTGTCAAGTCAGAGCAGGAAGTCGAAGTGGAAAGCGATGTTAACTTGCCGGCTACGCAGATTTCCACGAAGAAGAGGAAACCGCGGACTAAGCCTGACCCGCCGGGTTCCAKGCTTTCCACTGGTCAGMCTCTACGTGACCTTCGTGCTCGTTTCAAGATCTCCAAGGAAATTAAGTTTGCTCTTCCGTCTTCGTCAGACCGAGCTGACGACCCTCCGGAGGGCTATTTTACTGTATATGAGGCTTACTTCGATCTGTGCTTCRTTWGGTTCCCCATCCCGGAGGTCTTACTTGAGTATGTGTGGGAGTACCGCYTTGCCCTGGCTCAGATCACGCCTCGTGGACTACGCCATTTGATTGGACTCTTGGTGCTCAGCTACGAGTGTWACCGCGAGCTCACCGTGCTTCACTTGATGAATCTTCTGYAGATTCGAAAGACGGGTAGTKAAAGCAAGATTAACTATTTCACTTCAGGCAGAGCTTTTTACCAGGTCATCAAAGACTTCCCCAGCAAGGACAACTTCTGGTTTGAAAAGTTCTTCTTTGTGAAGATAGARGGGGCMTCTGTTGGTTKTGACTGGGTTGATAAGATCGTGACCGAATGGCYGACTCGCGGTAGCGGTTTTTGTAGTTTTTAGAGTRGTCAGCTYTTAGGCTAGTCATTGGGCTCCGTTTGTTGTAGAAATTTTTCCTGACACTTTCATGTTCCTTGTTTGTTTTGCAGCGCCGAAGCGGTTGGTGGAGTTTRCGAAGGACACGAACAGTTTACACGACGCCCTYATCGCTCYACGGTGTCGTTGGAGGAAGCACTTCTCTTTCCGACGAGTTGAAAGAGCTAGAGCCCTGCACGTTGGTTCCACACTTCCGGGTCCGTCGCCGTCTT